CGGCGGGGAGGTGGCAGAAACAGTTAACCCCGGCTCAGCTTTACGGCAGCGCTCAATCAAACGAGATCAAGTGAGACGCCCGGCAGTGCAACGAGGAAGCGGCGCCAGACTTCCTGTCCGGTAGAGGTTCTCCTGAGCTTAATGCAACACAAACGACGGCGTGACTTGGACCGTAGAGCCAATCAGCTGTGCCAGGCTGTGCGTGACTACTGAACTCCACAGTTAAGGCCGTTAGCATCCACGCACGAGCACGGCGCCAATGACAAGGAACAGGAAGAGGAGACATGAAGGAGGCGATCATCGATCGCTGAAGCCCGCCTGCACACGGCCACGTAAACGTGTGTGTGTGTGTGTGTGTTTGCATTATTGTAGTGCTGTGCTCAGGTTTGCATTAACCACACTGAATCCTCGTCTTCAGCCTGAAGGCAAAGTCTGAGTTTAGAGGACGCGCAGCAGAGCAGCAGCCTCACTACAGGCTGCACTCAGCAGTTTTCTGCCGCGTGGATCGATGCACTAAAAAAAGCCTCACTCATATAGAAAACAAGTTTGTTCTGCAGGGTTCACAGTGTGAACGAGCTGCTGTAAAGAAGCAGCCGCAGCAATGGCGCCCGCAGGTTTGTGAAGCTTTTATTTGAGCATTTTATCCGCTGCCATGTTGGACGAGAGGGTGGAGCAACGAGCTCCTCCATCCATCTCTTTTCTGACACCGAGACGCTCGGGCCTCGAGCTCTGCTGGCGGGACACAGAGGCGTTCCCGAGTCAGGTGACAGTTAGGATCTCCTCTGGCATGTCGGGGTCTCCTCCGGGAGGCGTCCTAGTCAGATCCCCGAATCACCTCAGCCAACTCCTTCCAGTGTGGAGGAGTGGAGGAGGAGCACTCCGAGCTCCTCCCCCCTCGCTCTGAGGCCGGCGCCTGCAGCTCGTGCAAAGTAACGGATGAAATACTGCGTTTCAGTCGCAGCGCTGGAGCGCAGCGGCACAGCGAGCTCAGTATTTGGCAGAAAACTGGATACGTGTGTGCGAACACAGAGCGGAGGTTAGCAGAGGTTAGGCCCATCGGAAACTTTGGCGCCAACTCTGCATCACGCCTCACGTTTAGATCAGCATAATGAGACTCTGGCTCGACGGCGTTTACGGCAGCCGGCTCGTCGCTCTGCACGAAACGAGGAGCAGAGGACGAGCGTTCAGGTCACCTGCACGCCGTAAAGCAAACCTGATTTTAAACGTTATTCGTTTCAGGAGTTTTGACCTTTAGAAACTTTTGTTCCTGCTTCCTGCGCAGCACAAAGTCTGACTCATGTTTAATATGATCGTTATTTACTCGCCGCCGCGCTGCTCACAGATTAACATCCAAACATTATGAAGCTGCTCTGAGAGGGAATCACCGGCAGCATTTCCCCCGAGCGCCTGTGTGTAGGTTGCTAAAGCTGTGCGAGTGAGTGGATGAGATCATCAGAGGACTGCAGCGCAGCGGGGAGACACACACACACACACACACACACACACACACACACACACACACACACACA